ACCCCCCCCCCCCCCCCCCCCCCCCCCGAATTTTGTCTTCTGTTGCAAGACGTGTGGGGGGTTCGGTGGACAACTAGGGCGACATCTCAGGCATTGAGCAGCCTCAAAAAGGGTCTCATGAGATCAGACAACGGTCGAGGCTCCTGTACGACACAGTCCATGTGTCCAGAAGGTGGGGCTTGGTTGGGTGAAACAGTTCGACGAACCTGTGTGCAACAACTATGCACATAAGGAAAGGCTAATTGTTCATTGTTGCGCACACCTCCCTGTTTCTAAGGTTCTCTCGGTTGTTCCAGGTAAACCCTATAAACTCAGCCCAAAACCCAAGCGCAATCCCTGCCTCTCTTGCGGCTTTGCCTCGGCTTTGGCAGATTGGTACACTACCCTAAACCCTAAACCCTAAACCCTAAACCCCAAACCCTAAACCCTAAATCTCGCTTGACTGGGCAAGTCCCACAGGCAACACGCGATGCGGCTAGACGTCGAGTCCCCTGCTACAAGAAGTTGAGATACGATTCCTGCCTCTCAACGAAACTGAAACAAATCTACTACTTGCTTGAGAACCAATATGAATATATATATATATATATATATATATATATATATATATGCTACTCCCCCCCATGCACCCACGCTTCAGCATGGTTTCCAGACAAAAACACTACGTTCCGCCACCCGCGGTGGGTTTTAAAGGGGGGAGGAACTCCCATAAAACTCCAGCAGAAGTGACCTGAACAATTTGCTCGAGATTGTGGATTGCATGCTATGAGTTTAAATAGAAAGCCTATGCATGTGAATAGCGTTCCTATCAAATTTAATTGGGTTCATAGGATTCATCTTGTTTCAATAGGAATCTGATAAAAATGAAAAGGAAACCCATTAATAGGAATGAGAACCCTTAATTCTATTAAATTCTATGGGAACCCTATTCAAATGACGGAATCCTATTTAAAATTGATAGGAATCATATTACATTTGTAGGAGCCTTATAAAAATAATTCGGCAAACTATGGAAATGTATTGGAATCTTATACACAGAAAAACAGGAATCCTCTATTTCAATCCATAGGAACCCTAGAAAAAGTAGAACCCAATTATACTTGATAGCAATCCTAATGAACTGAAGAGGGCCCCTACTAAAATTAATAGGAACCAATGGGACTCCTATAAAAAACAAGTGTGAACCCCTAAATAGTAGGAGTCCTACTAAAATTAATATGAGCCTAAACCAATCGGTATCCCTTTCAAACGAATGAGATCCCTATGAAAATAAATACGAATCCCATTAACATGAGTAAGCATCTGATTAAACTTGATAGGAATTTCATTACATTAGTAGGAGCCTTATTAAAAGAATTAGGAACCCTATGAAACTTTATTGGAATCCTATAGAAATAAATAGGAATCCTCTATTGACTTCATAGGAATCCTGCCAATATTTTTCGGAACCGATAAAAGTTAATAGGAAGCCTATTAAAATGAATAGGAACCCTTGCCAAATTGAAAAGAACCGGTTATAATTCATAGGAATCCTTTTAAAATGAGAAGGAACCTTGCTAAATGAATAGGAACCAATAGGACTCCTGTATAAAATAATATGAATCGGCTTAAAAGATTGGTTTTTTTTGGACAGTACAGCGTTTTTGCAGTCCCAGGCCTCGAAAGTGCTGTACTGTCCCAAAAAAACAATCTTTTTAAGGCAAAAAGTGCAAAAATGCTGTACTGTCCCAAAAAAACCAAAAAAACCAAAGTTTGGAGACCTTGGGCTCCTCCACGGCCTGGAGGTCTCCAAACTTTGGTTTTTTTGGTTTTTTTTGGGACAGTACGGCATTTTTGCTTGTTTTGGCTTAAAAAAGATTGGTTTTTTGTGACAGTACAGCGTTTTTGCAGTCCCAGGCCTCGAAAGTGCTGTACTGTCCCCAAAAAACCAATCTTTTTAAGGCTAAAAGTGCAAAAATGCTGTACTGTCCCAAAAATACCAAAAAAACCAAAGTTTGGAGAACTTGGGCTCCTCCAGGGCTTGGAGGTCTCCAAACTTTGGTTTTTTTGGTTTTTTGGGACAGTACGGCATTTTTGCTTGTTTTTGCTTAAAAAGATTGGTTTTTTTGGGACAGTACAGCGTTTTTGCAGTCCGCCTCGAAAGTGCTGTACTGTCCAAAAAAACCCATCTTTTTAAGGCAAAAAGTGCAAAGATGCTGTTTTTGCAGTCCCAGGCCTCGAAAGTGCTGTACTGTCCCAAAAAAACCAATCTTTTTAGGGCAAAAAGTGCAAAAATGCTGTACTGTCCCAAAAAAACAAAAACACCAAAGTTTGGAGACCTTGGGCTCCTCCAGGGCCTGGAGGTCTCCAAACTTTGGTTGGGACAGTACGGCATTTTTGCTTGTTTTTGCTGAAAAAAGATTGGTTTTTTTGGGACAGTACAGCGTTTTTGCAGTCCCAGGCCTCGAAAGTGCTGTACTGTCCCAAAAAAACAATCTTTGTAAGGCAAAGAGTGCAAAAATGCTGTACTGTCCCAAAAAAAAAAACAAAGTTTGGAGACCTTGGGCTCCTCCAGGGCCTGGAGGTCTCCAAACTTTGGTTTTTTTGGTTTTTTTGGGACAGTACGGCATTTTTGCTTGTTTTGGCTTAAAAAGGTTGGTTTTTTTGGGACAGTACAGCGTTTTTGCAGTCCCAGGCCTCGAAAGTGCTGTACTGTCCCAAAAAAACCAATCTTTTTGAGGCAAAAAGTTCAAAAATGCTGTACTGTCCAAAAAAACCAAAAAACCAAAGTTTGGAGACCTTGGGCTCCTCCAGGGCCTGGAGGTCTCCAAACTTTGGTTTTTTTGCTTTTTTGGGGACAGTACGGCATTTTTGCTTGTTTTTGCTTAAAAAGATAGGTTTTTTTGGGACAGTACAGCGTTTTTGCTCTTCTGGGCCTAAAACATTGGTACAGTAGAGCGCTTTCGTGCTCGCTGCCCTCGGAGGCTTCGAAATCCTAAGCCTCTAAACCATGGCACCTGAGAGGAAAAAGTGTGGGCATATGGGGGGGGGGGGGGGTACCATATCTATATATATATATATGTATAATAGTAATTCCTATATTGCCCTGATAAGGAGGGGTATTTCTTTTCATTTGTTATTTTATGGGGGGGGCGGGGAGGGGTTCTTATGCACATAGTAGAAAATTACTGAGCGAAATCCAACCACGGCTCGATTTGTCTAAGCCTTAACCGTCAAAACAAAAGAGCTGTGGATCCTCAAGTTCCAGGGTGTTGAGCAGGATGCTCAAGGTACCCTAAAACCCTAAACCCTAAACCCGAAACCCCTCAACCCCTATATAGACCCCGAAACCCTGAACCCTGGTGAAGGGTGTCATCAAAACGTCCTGGCCCTTCTTGAGGAGCGTTTCAAGGTTTAGGGCTCTTAGAGTTTGAGGGCTAAAACCCTACAAACCCTCACACGTCCTCGCCAAAGACCTAAAACCCCCAACAAAAAACCTCTTCATCCAGACCCCTAAAACCCCAAACCAATCTTCAGAGTTGTTTTTGGAAGTCCAGGGGAAGTTTAAATAAAACAGCTTCGGAGTTGCGTTAGACCCTAAACCCTAAACCCTAAACCCTGAACCCTAAACCCTAAACCCTGAACCCTATGTCCGAAAAACAAGTTGAGAAAGACTCGGAGCACCCGCGCATCGAGCTCGATCTCGGCTCCGGGCCCGCTTCGTAAAGCCGCGTCCTCATTCGGCTCGGGGTTCGTTAGGCTTAGGGTTTAGGGTTTAGGGTTTAGGGTTTAAGGTTTAGCGTTTAGGGCTTAGGGCTTAGGGCTTGGGGGTTCGAGTTTTGTAAGGTTTAGAGCTTGTTAGGTGTAGGGTGTGTAAGCTTTCGGGCTTGTAAGGTAAGTTTTGGGGTTTAGGTTTGTGAGGCTTAGGGCCCTTTAGCGCTGTTTGGGTTCTTAGGGTTCTTGTGCAGAAGCGAGGTGAGATGGACGGGCTCAGGCGTCAAAACCCAAAGCTCAACAAAAAAACCTCAGCCCCAAACCCTAACCCTACACAATGTACGACGCAATCTATGGTACGCAATATGTACATATGTATATATATATATATATGCATACATATGTATATATATATATATGCATATATGTAAAGTGTACTCATTCAGCTACTACGTCCAGGGTGGTTTACGTAGAGTAACCGATATACCCTGCTAACATAAGACCCACGTTTGGAGGGCACCTAGGTTCCTGCAGGTAGGGCAAAGCTTGGTTGGCACTCCTCGTGGGTACCCCTAAACCCTAAACCCTAAACCCTAAACCCTAAACCCTAAACCCTAAACCCTAAACCCTAAACCCTAAACCCTAAACCCTAAACCACTTACCTTCTGCATCGGATCTCTTGTACACCGGTCGCCGCGAGACTCAAAGCAAACAACCCCCGCCTCCCCCTCCCCCACCCTTGTCACATCTTAGGCGGGCGCCTCCCCATAGACCCCCACAATGCCTATCATGGAGGTCTTGAGGAGACACTTGCTATGTGGCTAAACCTTGGGATGTTCCCCCCCCTCTTCTAACCGTCCTTAGTAGGGACTCTAGTACCCCCTACTAGAATCACTATTAAGGACTGTTAGTATAAGGGGGAACATCCTAAGCTAGGTCCCTGAACCGACCCTCAACCCTAAACCCTAAGCCCGGAAAGCACTTGGCGGATCCTGCTGGAGTCGCCGCCAAACATCACTCTGGACAAGGCCTGCCAGACTGGGGGAGCTGGGTTTAGGGTTTCGGGTTTAGGATTTAGGGTTTAGGATTTAGGGTTTAGGGGTTGAGGGTTTAAGTAGGTGATGTAGTTTGCTCACGGCACCGAATATTATTATAATCATGGCATGAAGTGGCCGAGACCCTGCTCTTACTGGCTCTCAGGTCACCTGGTGTGGGAGATTTGACCGCAGCAGTTGCTTTTTTCGCGCGAGATCCGGATCTTTCAGGAAGACTGCAACTGCTCCGACAAGAACGGATCTGATCTGGTCTCAAAAATAAATTGTGCTTATCATAGTAACGTACTGGTGGTATTCACCTCGTTGCCACCGCCGCCATGTTGCAGGACAGACCCATCCGTGCTCAAACCACTCCAGGTTACATTCTCGACATCTGCATTCTTTCGTGTTGATTCTGCAGTCATTGAAGCCAGACAAACTGCTGAACAGAGATGCTGAGATGGTCAACGTCAAAGACGTGCAGCCCTTGAATGCACCTGGTCCAATTGTGCGCACCGTCTCCGGTATGATCAAAGATTTTAGTGAATGACAATTGTTGAAAACTGCATGAGCGATGCGGATGACGGAAGGTGGTATGACCACGCTGATCAAAGAGTGACAATGTCGAAAAGCGTCATTCCCGATGGAGGTCACGGAATCTGGGATGATCACCCGTACCAAGGAGCTGCAATTCTGGAAGGCCCCAGGCCGAATGCTTCGTACTCCCGGAGGAATGCGCACGAAAGTCAATGAACTAGCATCGCAACCTGCCTCGTCTTTATGTGCGCAGGTCACTGGTTCCACATGCCCGAAAATCACTTGAACCTCTGCCCCCGGAAGCAAGCCGATCTCGTCAACCCTCTCCTTGTCATCCAGGTACCTGCTTCCGAAGACCAAGTCGACGACGGTAAGTCTGCGCATGGCTTCATCCTTGCATGGGTTCCACCTTTGCATCTCCTTCTTGAGCTCCGCAATCGTCATGTCTGGTGCAACTTCCCGCTCTGTCAATAGTGCTCCACTCAGAAGCCGCATGGAGATGTCCAGCGCCATCGCTTGCAGAACTCTGAAGACGAAGCTGCAAGAGGATCCCCACAAAGCAGCACGTACAAGCGAATGAGCATACGTACCAACATACTCTCTCGGAGATATATAGGCACAGATGAAAAACGCTGACGTATAGTATCAAGAAACTTTCATGTGTCCTTATCTGCTTGTTTTCGCATACAAGTATGTGTGTGTGTATGTGCAGAAGTTCAACTCACAGACCCTGCACTGAGATCCGTCAAGAACGTGGCATGGCCTTCCATGATCTTTCTCAGCGCACTCTCGGGACGCATCGCAGCTGACGAACATGGGTAGTAAATTACTAGGGTGATAAGTACCCTAAGTAAGGTTATAAGTACTAGTACAGTCTAGTACAGTTACCATACTCATAACCATGCTCATAGCTACCCATGAACCTCAGTAGTTACTCAAGCTTCTAGTTTCTGGAGTATCTTTCCTGCCCTAGAAGCAGTACTACATACATTCGGTTTACCTTCATACACGCGCGTGCGCGCGTGCGCCTCCAACCCCGTGGTGAACCTAGTCATGCAGCCTTGTAACCGCATGCCTGGAGATGTCTTTCCTCATACCCTGAGTTGAGGAATACGGCTTCCAATCCTAATTAATGCGGAGCCGCATATCGCTTAAGACATATTCCGTAACTGCGGGGTATTGAGCTCGCTTGTTTCCTCCACGTCCTGCAAGAACTAAGCGGAGGCAAGATTACATACAGACTCCCAGTGGGGTCTTTCGTTGTTTTTTGGGCCTCGCTGGTGGAAGTGTAAATGGCCTGTCAAGAAAGCAAAGACCTACTTCCCCATGTGCAACGAAGCACTAAGTGGGGAAATGCCCCTAAACCCTAAACCCTAAATCCTACATCCTAAATCCTAAACCCTAACAAAAAATCGCAACAGATTGACTTGAAGGCGCACCTTGAAGCCACTAAACCTCAAACCCCCAATCCTCAACATACTACAGCCCAAGCACTCTTCCAAGGGGTTTAGGGTTTAGGGTTTAGGGTTTAGGGTTTAGGGTTTAGGGTTTAGGGTTTAGGGTTTAGGTTTTGAGGCTTCGGGTGCTAGAGCTTGAAGCCTTGGGTGGACCACGGCCGTGCCAAGCAGGATTTTATGCCTCCTGGCTTCTACAAGTAGTTGGGATGTTCCCCCTTATACTAGCAGACCTTGATAGGGATTATCATGAGGGGTACTATAATTCCTATTAAGGACTGCTAGTATACGGAAAAATCCCACCAAAGTAGTAGGGTGAAGTTTGCGACTACATCCTCAGCCTAGATTCCTGAACGCATTCTGCTTGCATGAGTTTGCTTTGGGTAAAGAGGCCTGCTTGGAGTTTGATGGGTAGCTAGAAGTGGTAATATAAGTATGGGAACTGTGCTTGTAACCTTATTTAGGGTACTTCTAAGCCTACTTCTAACTACCCATGAACCTCCAAGCACCCCCAAACCCTAAACCCTAAGCCCTAAACTCTAAACCTTAAATCATGGGTAGCCATAGGGTTATAATACCCATGAACCTCCAAGTACCCAGAATTTGGGCAAGGTCCGGCGCCTGCCGCACGCGGTCTAATGAGAAGTCCGCGGGTATCTCCACTTCAACCTCGCCTTGCAAGGCCTGGGACTTTGGGGAGCAAGGGGTGCAGGGTTTAGGGTTTAGGGTGTAGGGTTTAGGTTTTGGGATTTGGGGTTTAAGCGGGGCAGGGGGGAGGGATGGGGTTGGTTTGGGCTCGTCGCGCCAACGTGAGTACGGGTTTTGCAGCAAGGAGGCATGCACCAGAAGACTCAGCATCCAAACGGCAAGCCGTCCACAACACGAGCTGGGAACCATAGACGTGTTCGAGTGACTGAGCGTGGGGCGCCAATATTTGGGTACCTGGGTCTAAGCGATTCCAGACATGTTCAGGGGTTGGTTGATGAGGCTTGCGTTTCTGGGGCCCTAAGCCCTATAAACCACAAATCCCGAAACCCTTACAGAGCCCATCCTGCAACTTTTGAAGCTGCCGTTCACACCTCTCGGGCGCTTCCTCATCTCCCAAGCCCTAAACCCTAAACCCTAAACCCTAAACCCTAAACCCTAAACCCTAAACCCTAAACCCTAAACCCATGCAAACTTTCGTAAACCATGAGAGCGCCTCGTGGCTTAGGGCGCCTTCGGGATGTTGGGGTTTACGGCTTTGGGCTGCAGGGTTGAACCCACAAACCCTCTAAACCCATAAACCTTAAGCCCTGAGTTTTTCGCCTAAACCCTTAACCCTGAACCGTAAACCCTAGACCCTAAACCCTTCGGTTCTTGGGGGGAACCTTCTTGTGGGAGAGACCAAGCTGTGACTTCCCACGGGCGCACGCGCGCACACGATGCGGAGGCCGGGGCTTTAGGGCCGATGCCTCGGCAGATGTCCCTTGAGAAGCCAGAAGAGCTATACACCCCTAAAGCCTAAACCCTAAACCCTAAACCCTAAACCCTAAACCCTAAACCCTAAACCCTAAACCCCACACCCTAAACCCTAAACCCTCTTCTACACTGCCAGCTGCCTAAGATGTCGAGCCTTTGGGGGCCCGAGGAACCTGCATCTGGTACTTGCTCGGAGGTTTGGCAATCAGGGTTTAGGGTTTAGGGTTTAGGGTTTAGGGTTTAGGGTTTAGGGTTTAGGGTTTAGGGCTTACAGCTTTTCAGGCTCAGCACTTCCAGATCTTGGAAGCTCGGGCGACCTGCTTCTGGGTACATATGTGATATCAGAATGTACTATGATACAATATTTTCAATATGAACAGTGTAGTCGGTACATTTTCCTTCTATACATAACAAAATAAATAACTCTATATATATATATGTATGTATATATTTATATTTAGATTTACATTTATATTTATTTATTGACTTATTTATTTCTATTTATTTATGTATAATCAAACCCTTAACCCTACACCCTAGACCCCAAAAGGCTTCAGCTTCCGAAGGACGCACGGCTGAACTCAGCAGCGCAGCTTTCAGGCTTCTATCATAAACAATAGTCATATGAAGCAGGGTTTAGGGTTTAGGGTTTAAGGTTTAGGGTTTGGGGTATAAACCCTGCTACATATCACGAAGAAGAGGATTCTTAATAAAGCAAGTAGTCACAATAGAAATAAAAAAAAAACATAAGGTGAGTCATGCCAATGCAAAAGGAATATCATGTTACTGTATGCATATAGAAGCAGGATCAGACAGGACGTAACATTTCTCATGTTGGGAGTCTGGCACTCTGGAGTGCTTCTCCCCTAGGAAGGCATCCCCCCCACCCCCCCCCCCCTTCACCGATTGGGAGAAGCACCCGAATCTCGACTTCCTGAATCCTAAACCCTAAACCCTAAATCCTGAGCCCCAAATCAAAGGGTTGAAAGCAGATGCGTCCGCGACAACACCGAAAGACATGCCCAGTCAGTCTAAGGTTTTATGGGTTAGGGCGCTACAACTCGCAACCTCCCTCCCTGCATGTAGACGAGGAACCGCCAAGGAACATATACAAACAGATGCCTATATACACACATATGCATATATATATATATATATATATATAATATGCACATGTATAGGTCTGTTTCAGTTTATAGTTACGGTTACGACATCGCAGGTAGGTTGATGTCGTTGCTCACCGCACCCAAAATAGGGGTACCCCTTTTATACTCCAAATACAACAGAATCCCTTTAAAGGGGCCCCCACAAGGGCACCTATTTGCAGGAACCACCACATGGGTGTGCCGAGCCCACTACGGCGAGCGCTTGCAGGATGGATGTGTTGCCTCCCACCACAGCGCGAGGGCTCGAACCTGCTTGTGGCTCCAGAGGGCGATAGTGGGTTTAGGGGGCTTAGGGTTTAGACCCTAAACCCTAAACCCTAAACCCTAAACCCTAAGGGTTTAGGGTATTTAGGGCTCAGGGTTTGAGGTTTAGGCTGCCGGGTTGAGAGGTGTTCTTTTAAACTTTTGGGGCTGGACCCCACGCTGGCCGTCTGCACTAGATTGTCCACCAAAGTCCAGCATGAAAGAGCACGCCGTTCCGGACGTCTACAAAAACCCTAAACTCTAAACCCTGAACCCTGAACCCTAAACCCTTTGTACCCTCAAGATGTGCGTGTGTGTGGGGGGGGGGGGGATATCTAGCCCCCAACATCGCCCAATCCCTAAAACGCTACTTAAACCTCAAAAAAGCAAAAACCCTACAACCCAAACACCCAAACACCCACAACCCCCCAACAGCCTTAAAACCCTAAACCCTATACCCTAGTAACCGTAACAGCCCTAATAGCTTATAACCCAAAACCCTAAACACCCTAAAATCCTAAAAGCCCTCACGCCCTAAAACCCAGAACCCTAAAAACCCTAAACCCAGAACCCAAAAACCCAAAGACCCTCACACCCTCAAACCCTACAACCCGAAAAACCCTAAAACCCCAAAACCATAAAACCCCTCAAGCCCTAAAACCCTAATTCCTAAAGACCCTAAAACCCCAAAAGACTCAACCCATAAAACCCCAAACCCTAAAACCCTAAAAACCTAAACCCACAACCCTAAAACCCTAAACCCTTAGGCCGAAGCTTTCAGAGCTACCACCGCTTGTGTCTCCAGCCTGCAGCGCAACCATCGTCGACTGTAGGGTTGTAAGGGTTAAGGGTTTAGGGCTTAGGGCTTAGTAGGGTTGCGGCGAGGGAACTTAACTTGAGTTAGGGTTGAGGGTTTAGGGTTGAGGGTTGCCGTGAAGGAACTGAAAATAAGTTAGGGTATGTGGCGTGATGTGCTTCTTGCTGTAGAAAGCATTCACCCATCCCCCAAGATCCCGGATCAGTGGGGCAGACTTCTCATGTAGTTGCTTTTCTGGAGTTGCAACCAGCCAGAGATCGTTTAAACAGCTTATGCTCCTAGTCGTCATCCAGACTCACTGTCGGCAGTGATTGTCGGAGAGAGGGCCCACTGCAATTCACGACTGAGGGTAGTTGCAAAACTGCTACAAAGCAGCCTACCAAGGGAGCCTACTTCTGGGGGTGGTGCAAACTGCTATCTGGGGTCTAATGTACACCATGGGTTGAGGTTTGGGCACATGGACCCACTGGGCATGAAGGTTACATCGGAGGCTTCTTCCGGGCTTGCGGGAAGTTATGAGGGGGTTGATCTGAATTCGAGGCTCTCTTGCTTCGGGTCTCAAGACCCTATACCCTAAACCCTAAACCCTAAACCCTAAACCCTAAACCCTAAACCCTAAACCCTAAACCCAATACCAGAAAGACGAAGACGAAACCATAGAGATCCACCGACAACAAAGGCCAAGTACGTAGATCAACCCCTGCAACGGGCTTGAAGGTGTTTAGGTTGGCCCTTGGGTTTGGGGTTTGGGGTTTAGGGTTTAGGGTTTAGGGTTTAGGGTTTAGGATGCCCTCCCGGAAAATGAGGTAACTGCTCTCATGACCCGGACTTTAAACCTTTGAACTTTTAACTTTTCATGGGGTTTCATGGGTAGATATGAGCAGCGTTATAAGTACCCGAAAAGGTTACAAGTACAGTTCCCATGCTTATAACCCTACTTCTAACTACTTCTGATCCTCCGAGCAACCCTGGACGTTAAACCTTACAAACCCTTCAGCAGTACTTGTGTAGTTTAAGGGTTTAGGGTTTAGGGTTTAGGGTTTAGGGTACCGCCCGGTCAACCCACCCGGAACACTGAGCCGGGCCTGAACACATTCAAGACGATGGCGCTTCCAGCCTGCCAATAGGTGAACATCTTGAAGTCTTAAACTAGGTGTTCAAATCAAAAGTCCCTAAAACGAATATGTTGCTAGGGCTCCATAGTAAGCAATAGGGGAGATGAAAAAATTCTCCCCATATCGATCCCACATCGATACCTAGTGAAAGTCTCAAGTTAGGGGTCGACCCAAAGTTGGGTATGAGGCTGAGGCTTAGGGCTCACCATGTCAAACCCCGGAGCTCCCAAGTCGCTCAGCCTTCACAGGTACTCGGAGATCAGGGTTTAGGGTTTAGGGTTTAGGGTTTGGGGGGGGGGGGAAGGAGGACTGTTCGACTGATCCGTGAAAACGGAGATTCATTACAGGCCTTGGCCTGGGCATCTCATGAGATGCCAACGCGGAAGCATCCAAACTAGCGCTATCACCTAGTTGCTGAGTTCATAGGCCCCGAAAAAGTGTAAACTTCCAGTTCTACAGGGGATCATAGTCTCCCAAAAAGTGCAACGTGTACTCATTCAGCTACTTAGACCCAGAGACTCCAAAACCCCTTAACTAAGGAATATACCTTAAATCATATTAGGGTTCCGATTATAATTTAAGGTATATTCCTAAATTAAGGGGTTTTGGAGTCTCTGGGGACAAGGGCAGTTTAGAGTCAGGGCCACGATCAGCCGTGCGAAGGCATGGTCTGAGCGCAGCGACCACAACAGCAGCACCAGAATCCCAGAGACTCCAAAACCCCTTAATTTGAGGAAGATATCTTAAATTATTATAGGAATCCCTAATATGAATTTAAGGTATATTCCCCTTAATTCAGGGGTTTTGGAGTCTCTGGGAAGTACGAAACGCCGGTTGTCCACAAGCCTGAGGTATGAATGCCTCCAACAGGGGAGCTCACTTGGGATGCTCCCCCTTATCCTAACAGTCCTTAGTAGGGATTACATAGTACCCCCGATGATAGTCCCTACTACGGACTGTTAGTATAAGGGGGAACATCCCAAGACCTCACATTCAAAATGAAGAGTCCAAACTCCGACTCCCAAGTCCGAGTCCCTCGGAACCACGGATTTAGCGTCCCTAGATAGTCACATAGCCGCTTAAAATGGGATATAGAGGGACAGAAGGTAAACCACCTTTTTTTCCAAACTTGAAAACACAGAACTAGGATGGCCCCCGAAAAGCCCTCTGAGTATGATCCTCTCAAACCCCAAGGGTTTAGGGTTTAGGGTTTAGGGTTTAGGGTTTAGGGTTTAGGGTTTAGGGTTTAGGGTTTAGGGTTTAGCTAAAATATGAAAAAAAGTCCCAAGGGCCGGCCTAGACCATAATGTCCAAACTCCTATACGGAAGCAATCTAGGCGCCTTAATAAATAGAACAGGGTTTTGGAGGGTATTCTCGAATACTTCTGAACTAGGTTGCCCAGTAACCTAGGATGAAAAAGGGTGCCCTTTTTTGCTTAAAGGGGTTTATAAGGGAACCTAAACCTACCAAAAAGGGAATAAGGGTACTACTGGGCATCCTAGTGAAGGGGCTATAAAGGGAATGCCAGTACAAAATATTCCGACCCCTGTAGTAGTCAGATCTCAAGATTCCGAGCTTGACCCGCCTCCTTTCTGACAGGCCGGCCCGCAGAAGTGGACCTGCACACGAGTAGTTTACACTAGGTCCTAAACCCTAAACCGTAAAACCTCCTAAACCCTAAGCCCTAAACCCTAAAACCCCCTAAACCCTAAGCCCTACTGGAGCAGAGCAGCTGCTCCCAAAACATACCGATCAGCAATTTCAGCCTTGAGTTCCCAATTCACTGTTCGATGGTAGTTGTGCGAAGGGTTTGGGTTTAAGTGTCTAGGGTTTGGGGTTTGAGGTTCAGGGTTTAGGGCCTAGGGTATGGTAAGTGTGTTATGACCTTATGAAGTGTGCTGTGAACCCTACTTGTAGCTACCCATGAACCTCCAAGTACAAGGGTATCTCTGGCTTTCTCATGGGTCTGTCCTTACTTGGGTATGGCTGTCTGTTAACGATTCGTGGGGCTTCAGAACTAACGGGTCCTTCCAGAATCCAGAGCGCGCCCAAGTACAAATGGCCCCCCCGCGCGCGAAAAGCACGGTGCACACGACCAGAGAGCCCAACACCCTTAAGTTGAGGAAGAGACTATGGAGTCGAAAAGGGATACGCTGTCATGAACTATTCCTGA